TGCACATAACGGAGCACCGGGTTACGGATGTCCGCTGCCTTCACTGACCCTCGGGCAAACTGGAACGGTCCTCCTCCTCCAGAACTCAGCGTAATGGACCGCCAGAACCCCGACTCGTCATATGTACTCAAGTCGATAAAAACTCCTCGTCCTCCAAAACATGCATTGAGCCCCGCTTCATCGAGACTCCAATCTTGATTGTTCAACCGGAAGGTAATCATCTCCAACTGGTTGGTCATCGCCTTTTTCTTCTTCTCCACGGTGCTCAAGAACTCGAGCACCATCCTCCTATAAGTCCCCGGTCGAGTACCGAAGACTCCAGCCAATCCGATCCTGCTCCAAAGAGGCCTCACCGCCTCATGTATGCCAATCGCTCGCTCGGTGGCCTCATCCAGATATCGTGTAGGCCTTATCGCCATCTGTGCGAGTCGGGTCCATCTCTCCCTCTGCCAGTCGTGTGGCAGTATAACTCCCAACTCGCTCCCGGGAGTCGCTTCGGCCTCGACATTCTCAATAACTCGTGCCGGTCGAGGATTCTGTGGACGGTTTGGTGGACGATTCGCAAGAGGTGGGACAACGGCACCCCCGCTATTCCTTGTTTGCCTACGATTGTTCATTTTGTACCTACATTTGCGAAATTCAATATATCAACCTCAACATCAATAATCAAACCACAAAAAATCCATCAAAGTCAAAACTCACATAACAATCTCCAAATCATACTCAAAATCCAATTTTTTCAAATTCCAAACAAGTACCAAAAGAGAGCAAACATCACCAATATTATCCACACAAATCAACCAAATTCATAACATATCATCAACCCTCCTACACATCACAAACTCACAAAACCTTCACTCTTCCGTAATCACAACACCAATCACTTGTAAGGCACATAAATCACAAACCACAAGCATGAGCCAAAAGGAGAATTTCATATCTTTAAACTCAAGTGCTACTTCAAGTAATTCATCAAAAACTCATCCACCTACAATCACTAGCCTAAGCAATTCAACACAACTTCACCAAATAACATCAATTCTCCAATAATTCCACATATTCATCACAAATTCACACAAAATTCATTAAGGCCAAGAATAATAACAAATAAGCTCAAAACTTACTTCATGCTATGCAATGCATCACTCTCTTTCTCATACATAACAATGATCATGAAAAATCATATGAAAAAGAGGGCAAATTCATCAAAAGAGTCACGCACATGAGGTGTTCGATGAAATTCCTCAACAAGTTCTTAACCCTAACATCAAGCTAATACCAAAAACGCACCACCATACCTCAATTCAACATCCAATTCGCGAAACTACAAGAAAAAGGAAGAGAATTCGTACCTTTTGTCGATGAATTTGTGCAAAATCCGAAATAGCAATACCCTAGGTTGTAGAACACCAAATTTCCTTCACTTTCTCAAGCAATTTTCATAAGTAAGAGATGAGATGGTGTGTTGTGCGTGAATATGTGATGAATTTCGAGCAAGAATTAGCAAAAGAAGTTGAAATTATAGAGAGATTTGAGAGAGAGACGAGAGAGACACGAGAGAGAGAGGTGGGTCGTGTGTGTGAGAAGTGAACAAGATTTTTTTTTTTTTAAAGCTGCCCAGCGTCACACGAGCCGTGTCCAAAGGACACACGAGCCGTGTGACGCAGTTTAAAATCAACAAGAAAAACGCCCAGGGTCACACGACCCGTGTCCCCATTTCACACGACCCGTGTGCACACGACTCGTGTCACACACTCACACGGGTCGTGTGAAAAAGCCGAACCTGACCTCGAAGTTTTTTTTTTTTTTTTTTTTTTT